AGCTGCTCCGCTTGTCACACTATTTATGAGTTTATTATTTTATTTTTTTCCAGCTCTATTATTTGGCATGCAGCAGCCCAGCTTCCAGCGCCCAAAGAGCGCAGCGCTTAAAACTTCTTTCATTACAAGTGCTGCAATTTCTCATAGTTTTATTTATTTAGTTTCTTTTTTTTTTTTTTTTTTGTTTCTTCTCTTTTTGGAGCGGTTAACATTTTTTACCCCTTGCGTTTATTTTGCTGTTATTTATTTAGTGGCTTTATTTTCGTTACATTCCATCTTTTTTTTTTTTTTTTGCACCCTTTTCTCGCAGTTGCTTAAATTGTTTGCAATTTTTGTCAGTTGGCGGTTGGCGCTGCGTGTTTTATTATGAGAGCAGACGACGATAAATAGTTGTTCTCTTCTCCAACTGGGGGATTTATTTATTTTCATTTTCATTTTTATTTTGTACTTTTTTTCAGTTTTTAATTATTGCCATGTTGACTGTGGCTGCTTCCCACAAATGAGAAATTTGTGCCAAAATAAAAACGAGAACAAAAGCAAAGCTAGTTATGAGTAGTTGGCAATTTGCTGCAGACAATTTTCCGCCTGGTCAAGTCATATAGTGGGAGGGGGATCGGAAAACGACATTTTAACAGACACTGACAAAGTCTTCACCTGCCAATGATAAGCTAATAAAGTACCTTTGGCTACTTTATAAGCCAAATGAAATGACATTTTTAAATGCATTGCTGAGAGCTGGTCCAAATATTGTTTGGTTCATTTAACAATGTGTCCTGCTGGCTTTACCCACATTCATTTGGTTTCCCAGTTAGAAATGTAAGAAGATTATATTTAAAAGGAAACTTTTGTTTAACATTTTCAGCATTTTTAAATCGTTTGACCTAGACCAATCAATTTTGAATTTTTAAGAAAGAGAAAACAAGTAAGAAGGCTCTAGTCGAGACTGCTCGACTAGGAGATACCCTGAAGCCTCTAAGCTGATATTCTAATCATTCTGCACTCCTTTTCTGCAGACATGCATACACACGCATCCACACGCACGTATAATACCGCACTCTGCTGACTGCGCAGTTAGCAGCGACTGCGCTTGGGCTGCGCTGCAGTGTGGGCAATATTATGAGAATTTATTTGTTGAATAACTTCTTTTGTAGACATACGATCTTAAAAAAACTTTCAATAATATGGTGAAAATACGTGTACATTCCGAAGCACAAGTGTCCAATACTTGAAATGCGCTTTTTACAAATTGGGGACGAAGAGGGTTAGGTATCCAAAATCTGTCAATCACAAAATCTTTGGATCGATCAACTGTATATACAGTAAATCTGAAGTCTCTAGTTCTAAAAGTGTTCAAATTACGCTGAAAAAAAAACAATTTTTCGATTATTCTCGATAAAAAAGTTATCGGATGATTTATCGAAAAAATAAAGCAAACTTGTACTGCGCATGGCACAGACGAGTATGCATGCCAAATTTCGCACTCATACGGCCGGACATACGGACAGACGGACAGGGCAATATCGACTCAGCTCGTCGTGCTGATCAAGAATATATACTTTATGGGGTCTGCGATGCTTCCTTCTGCCCGTTACATACTTTTTCACAAAACCATTATACCCTGATTTCCTATTTTCAATGGGTTCAGGGTATAAAAGTAGAATATCATCTCAGCTCATTTTGCAGGGTGCAAATATGTTGCCCTTTTTTACCAGTCTTTTTTTTTCTACATCCAAATACCCTCTTTTAATAGTATATGAAAGAATCCCGTTCATTTGGCATGAAAACTTGGGATATGCTATCAATTTAAGGAAACTGTAATTTTTCAAACGCCCCTTAGTACACAAGTATACCATAAACTATGAGAACTCTTGACTAAACTTTACAATCACTTGAGGGAAATGTCGTTCGCTCTCTACCCCAGTTCCAACTGAGCTCATCAAACACAAAAGTTCAACTTCCTTATTTTGGCCAAAATCAAGCCAAGCGATGTGTTTTACAACTTTACAAGATGCCCCAGAGCAGTTGGACCAAAAAGTAAAAAGATTTCCTTGCCAAGTATTTACCACTTATATGCATAAAAAGTGCACCAACAGACGCGTTGCCAAATACTTGAGCATTTATTTCGCTCACTCCAAATGCAGCACATACAAAGTTGCAGAGTCAAATGCTACAGAGTACTTTGCCACACCTGACTTTGAAGACCCAAGGCGAAGAAATGCATCCAAGTAAATTTGCTCATAAAATATTTATTTATGCAACAAATAGTTTGTCTTCGATTGCCAAAGTTTAAGTACCAAATCATTAAAAATATATATGTATATAGAAAATAACTATGAAAAATTAGTAATGAGTTTACATCATTATTTATTATTTTGACTTATTTGTGTGTGTAAAGTCGTCAAGTAGTTTGGCATTTTGCTTACACAATCTGGCTACACCAATGAAAGATTTCTTATATACATATAGAAAATCATAATTCAAAACTTAAGAATACATTTTTCTCATTATTTGATTTTGTAAAATTAAAAGTTTATGAATAAATTTGTCCACAATATGTTGATATATATTTAAGACTTTTATATATACAGTTTATAATTAATTGGCTTGCTTCATAGCACAAATGGCAAATCAATTGAAAATTTAAGGGATGTGACGCCTATTGGGAAAACGGAGCAGCAATTTAAATGGACTAAATAAATAACATGATACAACAGCTGGCGCAAAGACCATCAACAACAACAACAATATTGGGATAGCCCCTTGGAGCAACAGCTGGACTTGGCCGTTGGACAATACACTGTCCAGCCATCCATGCATCCGTCCGTCCGACCGTCCATCTGGCTCTCCAATATCCGGTCAAATATATTTTTGCAATGCTTTGCTTTTCACTTTTACTCTTCTTTTTTATTAACAAATGGAACCAGATTTATACAAATGTATATATGTGCGCATATATTATTTACAGATATACATCATATATGTGTGTATGTAAATTCCTAGTGTCCTTTATTTATGCCACGCAGCGGCAACACACGGCGTAAGCAAATCGGTAACCAAAATGCTAAACTGTGACTATAAAGATGGCTTATCTGTTCGAATATTTGCAGACTATAAACTAAATAATATTAGACTACAATATTTTTGAAAAATGGTTAAAAATAATTCATCAAAAAAAAAAAAAAAAAAAACATTATTATGTTGTTTTACATTACATTTTAAATGAGTCGATTTCCTGCAACAGCTCGCATGCATTTTTAACACAGAAAATTCTGCAAAATATGCAATATAATTGAATTTTATAAAATCATAAATGCGCGGCTTAAAAATCTGAGGAAAACTCTGTAATTTTATGTTTGAAAATATATACATATTTGTGTAAATGAATAGCTAAACAAAAATATTAAACACTGAATAAAATAAGCTTAGAAATACCTAGTAAAGTAAGTGAAAATCCCATATATACGTGCACATCATTTTTGAGTAAATAGAATTTCGTTTTTTTTATTTAGTATTTTAAATTTTATACCTATTTTTTTTTTTAATATAATAAATCAGTCAATTTTTGAGTATTAAAATCTTTTTTTAACAATTCCGTTTTACAGAATTTTTTAGCGAATTGCATTTTATTATGATTTGTAATTTTGCATTTGCAATTTTTACATGCATTGCATTTTATAATGATTTAATGAGTATTATATTTTTTGTTAGAATTTAGAATTTATTTTATTGTCAATTTTAATAGAATTTTTAAATGATAGCATTTTATGATTTATGTTATATTTACAATTTGGTTTGTCTTTGCTTTCTAAAAAATCTTAATTGAAAGATCTTAAAATTATTATGTATATATATAATGTATATAATATTTATTAATTATTATTGTTATAGATTATGCAAATAAATAAACTGAACTGTCGATTTGTTAAGTTTAATATTTTAATTGTATGTAGCACAAAATTATTTTTATAATATATATGAATAGAATATATCTTCTCAGATTTGCCTTATACATGAAAATGAATAAGTCGCGAGGATTAAATAGGTATATGAAATTATTTAAAACTGTTCTGCTATCACTTTACTCCACTCTTTACTCTTGTTGATCAGCAAATTTCTGTTGTCTGAGTAATTTTTCAAACTGTCAAGAGCATTCCCAAATACGCATTCACAATTCAAATAAAACGAATGCCCCGGCAGCAGCTGCTACTGTCCCACTGTGTGGGCTGTTATCGTTATTGATGCGCTGCTGTTCGGGCTGCTGGCTGTTGATTTTACTACAAAATAAATACGCGACAGAGAGACAAGACAGAGCTAAATAAATAACATATAAAGTCCAAAACTGATAAGAAAAACGGACGTTAGTTGACATATGAAAACCGAAGCGAAATCAAATCTAATCAACAGAGAGACAGAGGAAAAAGAGAGAGAAAGAGTGTGAGGGAGCGAGGTAGAGCTAGAACAAGTGAGATGAGAGCAGCGCAGCTTCTGCAGTTGGCATTCATTGATATATGGACATCGACATCTATAAACTCTAGATGCTACTAGACATATATGCCAGTTGATATGGCAATGTCAGCGATAGTGCCGTCGATAATACAGCCTGACAGCCATTAGAATGTCAAGGCACTTGGCATGCGTGCGTTTGGGCTTGCTTGCTTGTTTGCTTCCTTACTGGCGGCGGGCATTGTGATATACGCGCGGCAATTTTCATTCACATTCTGTTTTCATTCAAGCGACGACTCATTGCATTCGCCATTCGCCATTCGCCGTGTAAACCGAAACCGACAAAGATGCTAGGGAATGGACAGCGACAGCGACCATATCTATCTATAGCTATGGCAGCCGAGCCCAACAGAGAACGAGACTTCAAGTCCGCATTGTATGAGTGTGAGTGTAGGGGTGTGGGTGTGTGCGTGAGTCTGTTCGTCGGGCTCAACACGAGTCGAGCACGGACACAGATTGTAGCTGCCAGCATCAGCAGCAGACAAACAGCAGCTCATTCGTGTTTTCCGTTTCGTGCAAAGCGGACGCTAGTTCCACACTGAATAAAGTCGAGAGTCGATCAGGGTTTTGTGCCGTGCTAACCGGAAGTAAGGATAATTTTGTAGTGTTGCATTTGTATCATGTATGTGTGTGTCGCCTTGTATTTTATCCTGTTGCGCCGTCGCATTGTTAGCTGCCAAAGGCCAAGCTAAGCCGAGTCGAGTCACTCAAAATGGCGGCAGTCTCTGTCTCTTTCTGTCTCTGTTTCTTTCCCTGTTGGCAATCGCGTGTTTAACGCACCGGAAGTGCTTTCAGAGCCCATTAATGCGTTGCGCTTTTTGGCCAAAGCCAAAATGCATTCAAATGTGTAAAATCGTGTAAAACTGTGCGCAAAAAAACGGCCTAACGAGTGTGAAAGCAGAATGCAAAAAAAAAAAAAAAACCAAATGGCGAAAAAAATCTATTAAAGCCACAAGCATAACTCCAAAATTATGAAAAACTTGCAACGTGAAAATGAATATGAACAAAAAACAGAATTTCGCAAAAAAATAACCTTAAATTATTGGAAAAACTCGGCCACATGTGAAATCGAATGAAATTCTACAAAAATTGAACGTGTTCAGCGCTCGATTCAATCAGCAGCCGATAAGAAAGTTCAAAAGTTCAACATTGAAAGCGGAAAATATTTCTATACAAGTTTTTAAAATATATAAAATTATCGCGTGTGTCTACTCACTCACTCTCTCTCTCTTCTGTGTATTGTATTTGATAAGCAACTGTGAAAGAGACGACGAGAAAGAGAGATGAGAGAGCGAGGGAGAAAGTTCAAATTGAATGCTCTTCAATACTATCTAACAACATTCCCATGCAAAAATCTATTGCCACTTGATGTTTTGTTTAATTGAGCTTTTAAGCCAACAAAAACAACTATGCAAAACTAAGCAACATTTGTGTTTTAATAAAATGCAACATTTTAATTGAATTCGAATTTTTAATTCACCAATTATATTAAATAATATAAGATAAGCGGGTCGCAATTGCCCCCAAAGTTGAAATCGCAGCAAAGCAGCTAAGTGAAAGACACATCAACACAAAAACTATTTAATTAGATTAAAAAAATATTCTGTATGTAAAATATGAAAAATGAAGTTGATAACCAAACAAGAACAAAAAATTGTTGCCATTGGCAGCCATTCAAATGTTTTTGCTAAAAATTAAATTGAAAACTATGTATTTTCTTTTTCATTTTTTATTTGTATTATTAAATTTTATTTATTTATTTTTTTATTTTTATTTTTCAAGTTTATATTTTGTTTGAAATATCGAATGTAAACTGAAACAAAAAACTGTTTTAGCATCAGAGACAAAATTTGAGAAAGTAATCACTGCAATATTAGGGGTAGATAATGGCCTGGCACTTATTCGATAGATTATGAAACATTTCTTTACTTCTCTTTTTCAATTTTAATAGATTATTAACCTTTATATGATAAGATGCTCAGTGAATGCTTATTTCTGTCGAAGTAATAAATACACATCAGAATGATTTGACTTGTTTTCTAAATTTAAATTGGGAAGTGAATTTAGAAAAGTACTGATAAAGAACACAGTTCATTATTTATATGAAATTAAATGTTAAAGTTGAAAAACAATCTATATATATATATATATATATATATAGTATATGAATATAAACGCATATTAATTGACCAAATGAGAGATAAGAATTTCTAATAGAACTAGATTCTTCTATTAGAATAGATTTTATACAAATTAATTATTTATATTTGCAAAAACTTCTTCTTTGAATATACATATATACTATTAATATATAATGTATTCTATAATATGCTATATAGTATATATATGCAAAAAAATATTATCCTCTATATCTCCACAATTTTGATTATTACTTCATTGATATTAAATTAAATACAAATATTTATATTTAAACAAAATATTATTATCAATAAATATAAATTTAGTAAAAGTATTTCAATTAAATTACGAAAACATTCTCCATGACAAAATAAAAGACTTCATGGAAAATAGTAGGAATCTCTTGAATGCAAAAATATGTATATTCCCCTCTAAAACGTATAATTAAATGCTATATTTTATATATAGTTCATTATATTCTATACCTCTACAGTTTTCAATAACACTTTATCTTGAATTGAATTTATAACTCGATAGAATCGATAGAGCACACCTTAAGTTTCTCGCTTTTACAAAATAAATTTGCAGCACAATTAAATTTCAGATGCTAGTACCACACACTTTACACATATGCACGTGTTCTGGATAAGTTATGGCTGTTAGTGGCGCATAAGATAGTTATTGCCCAAAATTCTTCGCACCCGCTTAAGCTGCTGTCAACTGCAGAAGACACACTATGCTGTGTATACATATATCTCAGTATATCAGCATATATATATGTGTGTGTGTATGTGCATGTACGTGTGCAACATTTGTTCAAGGCAAGCCAACTAACTGCAAGTCGTTCACTTTGCTTAACTTCCCAAAAAAAAAACAACAAACAAAAAATGCGCTGAAGTGGTGAAAAAGACAACGGAATCCAAGTAAAAGACAGCAGACTTCCTTTTTCCTGGCACCTACTCAGGTGGTGTTACTATTTCGTTGTTGTATTTTTCTTATTTGCCCGTGCTTCACGCCGCGTATGATTATTTCGTTCAAAAATTGCATTTCGAACAGCGTCGTTTGATAAAAAATGTTGCATATGCATGAAGACCGTCAGAGTGTGTGTTGGTGTATGTGTGTGAATGTTGGTGTGGGTGTGGGAAAGTGACAAATGTAAAACAGTCAAAGATGCTATTCTGAAAGCAGGTAAAAGCAACGCCCCAGGTAAAGTGTCCGCACCATTTTCCAATTTTCACATTTCCGCCATCTGCGTCTGTTCACATTAAAGCTAAAGACAATTATTGAATTTTATCCAAGAACCAAATTTGCACACTTGTTGTGGCTGAGCTCAAATCAACTCGAATTCAAGTGCTGCAGTTACTATGGGGAACTCTTTCATTTCTTTTCGTTTGCTTTGTGTGGACAATATTGTCTTGTGCCAAGCGCATCAATCTACTTTAACCCGAAGGGGTTTTTAGGGCGTGCAGACACGTGCCGACATATTTAGCTGAAGCAGGCAGCACACCTTACCTTACCACCTTACCTTGGGGGCACTGTGATGGAGTGATGGATTTGGCTGCGAACTCAACGAGGAACTAGCTAAGCTGTGGGCTTAGTGTGAAACGATTTGTGTCATGTTTGATTTAAGGTAACGGCTTAAGCAAAACATAAGTTAAGGAGACAATGCGAGGTCCTTTGACAAGGCTCAAGTCTAAATATAATCGGCGAGAATGAACGAACAGCTGTCTCTGAAATAACAGACATTAAATTCTCTCATGGAGAAAGCACTTGGTTGCGCTTCTATAAAACATATTTAGGATCTAGTAAATGTCTTTTGAAATTATTATTGATCAAGTATTTGGTAAAATTATAAGAGTAGGAAAAAGATTAAAAGACGTTTAAAATGTCACACCTCTAAAGTTAAATTGATTACTTTCTCAACCCTTAACCCTAGTCAACTAAACCAAAAAAGTCTCACATTGTTCGACTTTTTTATACCCTGTACCCATTTTCAATGGGAAATCAGGGTATAATGGTTTTGTTGAAATGTATGTAACAGGCAGAAGGAGGCGTGGCAGACCCCACAAAGTATATATATTCTTGATCAGGGCGACGAGCTGAGTTGATTTGGCCCTGTCCGTCTGTCTGTCCGTCTGTCCGTCTGTCCGTCCGTCCGTCTGTCCGTCTGTCCGTATGTATGAACGCGTCGATTTCAGAAGATATAAGAGCTAGAGACTTCAATTTTTTTTTTAAATGTCCGTAATTACAGCGCGCATATCAAGTTTATCATTAAAAATCGATAACTCATCCCGATCTTTTTTTATCGATAAAAAACCTTATCGAAAACCAGGTTTAAAATTATATCTTCTACACCTTTATTGCTAGAGTCTCAAAATTTTTAATGTATGCTTATATGCAATTTATACAATTTCGGTTTTTGTTAAAATTTACCCCCCACCCTTAAATTCACCCCCTCACCCTCACTTTTGTAAAAAGTGTATTTCAAATACTAGAGATTTGTGCTTTGGCAATTACATGCATATCCATGTTATAATCATAATCTAAAAGTTTCATGAAGATCTTACGTCCACAAAAAAAGTTATTAAGCAATTAAGTTCTCATAGTAAGCGCTCACTGCCGCCCATGCGTGTTTATGCTTGTGTTTGTATATGTATGTAATTGTTTGTGCATGTGTGTGTCTGTGCGTGCGTGTGTGTTTGTGTGTGTGTGTGTGTGCGTGTTTCTTGTGTAAGCTGAAAGACGCGAAAAATTATTGAAATAGCTATTACTCCAAGGGTTCAGGGGATCTCGTAGTCGAGTAGTCTCGACTAGAGCTTTCTTACTTGTTTTAATTTAATTTTTTTTAAGTTTTCCTCGTCATGGCTAGCTAATTTTTTCATAAAAGAATATTGATTTCGCTCAAATTGCTTTTTTACATTTTATAATGTAATGAAATTTATTTTAAAGCATTTTAAATGTAATACAACAAAAATTGTAGAATTAATTGAAATAAATTTGTCAATAAACAACAAATGTTATGCATCAAAAGCTTAAATGTGTCACGACCCATTTTCCCATATATTCAATACTTATGCAAATTTCAATCATGCTGAAATACCAAATAACAATATTATTATTAAATTAACCATAAAATTGGGTAAATATGAATTGCATAACAAGCCAAAGTTTGCATATATAAATATTCAACAAATTATGGAATTTTTGGAAATGTCTCAAATTTTCATAAATTTTCTAATATTCTGCAACATAATTTGCAATATTTTAAATATTTATTTAACATATAATTCATAAAATATGTAAAATTAAATAAAAAGGAGAATGGAAGATATCCTAGAATATTATATAGGAATATAATCTATAATTTATTAAGATATTTTTGAAAATATATTTTTTGTAATAGGATTCATTTATATATTGTGCAAACTTTATGCTGTATATGGCTTAT